AAAAGATACAAATCACAATATAATTGCATTTGTCACCACCTTTAATCCTCACAATCCTAATTTTTCCAGCGTAATTATAACACTACTTCAACAAGATAAAAAAATTAAAAAAACTTATTGATACACAAACATTTATCCCGTCAAAAAGACAGACTAAAAACCTTAAATCACTGTTAACTAGGGCTAAATTTGAATCATTCAGTCCAATTAAGGAAGTTGTAAAATGTGGAAGGGATAATTGTGGCACGTGTAGATATTTAATTGAAGGTAAATAATTTATATTTGACAGTGGACATTTTTTTTTGTCAATGAAAGTATGAACTGTAAAGTAAGTCATGTATTATATGTCATAAAATGTAGTGGCTGTGCCGAACTGTACATCGGCTGCACGAACAAGTTACAAAACAGAGTAACGGTTCATAGACAACATATCAGGGAACCAAATTTAAGGAAGATCCCTTTAAGTGAGCACCTTGATATCTGCGGTAAGGGCGAGTTCAAAATATACTCTTTCTTTAAGATGCCGTATTCAGATCCCATGAAAATGAGATTGAAGGAACAATATTTTATTGACAAATTCAAACCCAAATTAAACATTTCAAAATAATTACAATATTATGCTATATATTATATATTATCTACTTCATTATTATTATATTATTGTATGTTTATTCTTCCATGACGTCACGTCATTGTTATTGTTATTGTATGTCTTGACAAGCTCAGGCGAAACATGTAGACAATTAAACAATAGTATATACTTTGTTTAGGCATTTTTAACCTTTATTTTTTTCTTTATTAACACTACTACGGTTCAACTTCATATATCTATTGATATATATATATATATATATATATATATATATATATATATATATAAAATAAAGGTTAAAAATGCTTAAAGAAAGTATATACTATTGTTTAATTTTCTACAATTTCATAGTACCGAAACAGCTTTAACCCGGGTTTCAAATGATATTTTAATGGAAATTGATAATAGAAAATGTACATTTTTAATTTTATTAGATTTATCTGCTGCTTTCGACACGGTGGACCATTCCATTCTTCTACGTAGACTTCAATTTAAATTCGGTATTTGTGGCTCTGCATTAAATCTTTTAGAGAGCTATCTTGTGGGTAGAAAACAGTGTATTTTAGTTAATTGCAAATCGTCGTCTGAATCTGTTTTGTCATCTGGGGTTCCCCAAGGTTCTGTTCTTGGTCCGATTTTATTTACCCTCTATACGTCCCCATTAGGAGATATTGTCAGAAAATATGGTCTCAGCTTTCATTTGTATGCCGATGATACTCAATTATATATTTCATTTACACCTAATTGTCCATCTTCTTTCAATTTATCAAAATTGCAACTTGAGAACTGTATTAGTGAAATATGAAAATGGATGTCAAAGAACTTTCTAAAATTGAATGATGATAAAACCGAGTATTTGTTATTAGGCTCAAGGCATCAATTAAGTAAATCTGCACAAGATAACCCCCCCCTGTTGTAATTGGTAATTGTGATATATTTTCATCTTATTCTGCTCGTAATATTGGCGCTATCTTTGATAGTTTTATGCTTATGTGCTATTTTAATATTAGAAATATAGGTAAAATACGTAAATGTGTAACTGTAGAGGGCACTAAGTCACTTGTTAATTCTCTGGTCACTTCTCGATTAGATAACTTTAATTCACTTTTAGTTGGTTTACCTTTAAAGCTTATAGATAAATTACATAAGTACAGAATACTGCGGCTAGACTTGTTACTTTAACTAAGAAAGGTGACCACATAACTCCTGTTTTATATAATTTACACTGGTTACCCGTTAAATATCGAATTGATTTTAAGATTTTATTACTTACTTTTAAATGTTTAAATAATTTAGCTCCTGTTTACCCCTCAGATCGTTTAGAACTTTATACACCTGGCCGAACATTACGTACATCAGATAAACTACTTTTAAAGCCCAAAACTGTTCAACTAGTCTCTTATGGTCAGCGCTCTTTTAGTTATCAAGCACCTGTTTTATGGAATAATCTACCATTTAGTTTAAGATGTTGTACATCTCTATATTCTTTTAAAAAACAACTTAAAACACATTTATTTAATCAGGCTTTTAACTGACTCTGTATACAATCGTTAACATGCCCATAATCTTGTTGTTTATGTGTGATTTACATTGTCACTTTGTAAAGTGCCCCTGAACATGTTATATGAAAGGGTGCACTATAAATATGCTGTAATAATAATAATAATAATAATGTTTCGCCTGGGCTTGTCAAGACATACAATAACAATAACAATGACGTGACGTCATGGAAGAATAAACATACAATAATATAATAAAGTAGATAATATATAATATATAGCATAATATTGTAATTATTTTGAAATGTTTAATTTGGGTTTAAATTTGTCAATAAAATATTGTTCCTTCAATCTCATTTTCATGGGATCTGAATACGGCATCTTAAAGAAAGGGTATAACTCGCCCTTACCGCATATATCAAGGTGCTCACTTAAAGGGATCTTCCTTAAATTTGGTTCCCTGATATGTTGTCTATGGACCGTTACTCTGTTTTGTAACTTGTTCGTGCAGCCGATGTACAGTTCGGCACAACCACTACATTTTATGACATATTCATGAGTAACTTTACAGTTCATACTTTCATTGACAAAAAATTATTTTCCAACATTTGCAATGTCAAGCCGAAGACCGCTTCCATTGCTTGTTAAACACCTGCTGAATTTCCAGCTGAGATAGAAGATTCCTCGTCCAATCAAAAACCTCTGATTCCACCTAAACCAGTAAATAAATCTCTCAACACTCAGACTGTTAATAAGTCTGCGGAGTCTGAGATAGAGGAGATTGTGCCCCCTACTCCTCTACCAAATGGTGGAAATCCACCCAAAACCAATAAAATCAAGGAACGTTCTGATAAAGCCGTTTCTCGAAAGTTAAATACCTTCCGTAGTAGGAAGGGTGACGAGGATCCCGTCAGAACATTTAACAGGTTCGGGATACAGGACAATCTTATGGATGTTGTTGTTGAAGTACATGACCCCAAACAACATTTGTTTACATGAAACTTTTGAAAAGAATTCAGATGTATTAACACTCAGACATTTTGTTGCCTACCATCATTTTCCTAACGATGATGGTAGAGTACACGGTGGTGTTTCCATTCTCCTTAATGGAAATATTCCGCTGAGTAAAGTCGCCCTTTACAGGCAGTTGCAGTGAGGGTGACTCTACATATTCCTATCACACTCTGCTCTGTATATTTACCACCTAGTTTACAGAAAAGAAATGAAATGAAATGGGGTTTAACGTCCTACTGTTCTGCTCCGAACTGGGCTAATGAAGACGGGCATACGCCGTACATTGTGCTATGAGGGAAATTTTGCCCGGACAGCGGCACTACGGCCTACTTTTATATCGAATTCCAACTAGTTTGTGTCGAGTGCACGTTAAACCCCATTTCTCCCCCCCCCCCCCGTTTATAATTACAGGAGATTTCAATAGTCAGCATTCACTCTGGGTAGTCCAGATGACAATAACAGAGGTAAACAAATAGCGGACTTCATTTACATTAATAATTTGTGTTTATTAAATGATGATGTGCCTACTTATCTATATCCTGCACCAGCTTCCTTTTCTTCCCTTGATCTAACCATTCAGGGGCGTACATAAAGATTTTGTTTGAGGGGAGGGGGGAGTGTTTAGCAAAAATACGACCGATTGATGCAAATGTCCCTAATAAGAGTGTCGCAGTCAGGGGCCGAGCACCACAGATGATAGTTTTCTAGGGGCCAGTAGCTGATCTGGAAGCTGGGAATAGGGGGTGGCGTGGGGCGGTTCCAAATCTAGGACGCCATCCACAATCACACCCCACAATAAACGTCAACAAAATACTGGCTATAAAAGTGGGAGTCCCGGTAGAACATAGGTCGTATTGCCTATAGTTGATCGCCGATCGTTATCTCGATGGAAAGCAGTTTTATTCAAGTTGACATAAAGTATATTTATTTATTTATTTTTCAAGTAAAGGTTACAACATGACAATAAATTAAAGGACAATATTGGTGTCAGTCATAATTACATATGTGATAGAACTGGTTAAATACATTCAAAATATAATTTTAACACAGAGATCATTGCTACGGGAGATGTGTAATAAGCACGTGAAGAAACGGGAAGTGACGCCAAACATGACAAACACGAGTCATCCTTCTATGTATCGGACTGAAGTAACGAGCGATAACAGACAAACGATCGAATTTCATTTCACTGATAATTCCGTTGAAGTTGTAAAGTTATTATATGGGACGGTGAGAGCTGTTATATGGGACGCTGAGGGCTGTATCTCTCAATTCAAAAATAGAATTGGCTGTCACTAGATAAGGGACACGAGAAAAATAGAAAAATCCCGTGCATTCCCCCGTTTTTATTCATTCTGTTCTTAATAAAAACATGGTAATCACGGACTTTTTCTAATTTGTTCGTTATCTTTTATCTACTGACAGCCAATTCTTTTTTTGAATTGTCAGATATCCTCTCGTCGTCTCATATAACAACTTTTCATCTTCAACTGAATTATCAGTGAAATGAAATTCGATCGTTTGTCTGTTATCGCTCGTTACTTCAGTCAGTTATATAGAAGGACAACTCGTGTTTTCATGTTTGACGTCACTTCCCGTTTCTTCACGTGCTTGTTACACATCTCCCGTAGCAATGATCTCTGCGTTAAAATTATATTTGGGATGTATTTAACGAGCTCTATCAAATATTTTATAATGATTGACACTAATACTGTCCTTTAAACATGCTAAATTCTAATAAAATGGTATTAATGATAAATACGTGCCCAGTTAAATTATGTAGGTTGGATTATGTACCAGTAAAATACAACTAACTGCAACGATGTCTTTTAATAAGCCGAGAAAAAGATATAACAAGTATAAGTTAAATATATTTGAATATAATATATTTATAGAATGAAGAAGAGAAATTATCGCAAGTTGATATTGAAAATAATAGACTACTACATAAAATGACAAACATCATGAAATCAGGTGGTCGAGTAGACAATTGGAATGATCAACCATTTAAAAGGTAAGAAGTAACTTTTAATTAAAGTTACATATGTTTGAATATATGTTTGATTTTAATGTACAGTGTTGGTGTTCATCAGTTTTACATATTTGATCGAAATGGTTGAACTAATTAAAATATAATTTTAACTGAAAAGTCTTTGTCAATTAAAGTCATTCTATTTTTATTGGTTTAAGACAAAGACATTTACTATGTACTGTGCTACTGTCAGCTGCGAGGATTACAAATCGCAATGTGGTGACTCGACAGAAAAACATTTTCGACCTAATGATTGTTCAGTAATACTTATACCAGTGGTTCTCAAACTTTTTAAAATCGTGGTGCACTAGAAATCCTGCAAATAATTGTAATTATACATTTTTTTTTTAAATATCTGGACATTTGAAGTATGTCGGATGAGAAATGAATATGAATGCAATATCTGATAAATAAAGATCGACTAATTGTAGCTTTAAAACACAAGCCAATTTGTGATTTGCAATCATCCACGTAGCGGAGACAGTAGTAGTATAGCTATTATGGTACGTTGACTTTAGTTTGTTTATAAAGTAAATATAAAATTTATCAAAACTCAACAATGAGTCAACAGGGGGTAGGGTCGCCTGGCCAACCCCGTGGGTTTTCTCCGGGTCCTCCGGATTCCTCCCACTGATAAAGACCCCTATGCGCAAGGGAATTATTGAAATAAAATTGAACCATGTGTTAGTCCGGAAATGACCTAGTTTATGTCGAGTGGACGTTACCCCCCTCCCTCTCTCTCTCTCGTCACCCCCTTCCGTCTGTCCGTCCGTCGACCAAAAATGCTCGTGGACGCACTAGAGGTTTAAATTTACACACAGTGTTTATTTGCCATGATGCGAGGAATCCTATTGATTTTTGATAATTTACTGCCAGAGTTATGGCCCTTGATCACTTTGAAAAATCTTATGTACGCTGTAGAGGTTTATTTTGAAATTCATACACATTGTTTATGGCCATGAGACGAAGAGGGGCATCAGTGATTACTGATAATTACTGCCAGAGTTATGGCCTTTGGTCACTTTGAATAATCTTGTGGACGCTCTTGTGGATAAATTTATCATCCGATTGATTTAAAAATTTATACAAAATGTTTATGGCCACCAGACGAAAACGCTGATTGGATTTCCAATAATTACTGCCAGGGCTATTGCGCTTGATAACCTTGAACATAAATTTAATTTTCGAGTGCCTTTATTTTTGCACACCGTGTTTACCTGTTAGTTTATACATTGAAGAACTCGGAGTTATTATACTTGAGAACCTTTCAAAATATTGTATCTTGTGTCGCGGTTCAAGTTATTACACAGTGTTTATGTTATAATTTAAAATATTTACTATAACTAGACGAGCTAAATTTATCATCGTTACCGATACATTTTTAGTATAATTAGTTTTAGCATCTTGAAGATTTAGAAGCTAATAAAATATCTGATAATTACCTAATGGGTTTATACCTTTGATCAATTTTTAGTGTCCCTTAAATGATTTCGTTACCTATAAAGCAAGAAATATGCGACAACACTGGTGGACTTGTCGGACAACTTAGCTGCCGTGGGCGTATGTCTCGACGTCTGGCATCCTATCTTTAAATTTCTGATCATCTCTAATACTAGTATGTCAATGTGCTCCATCTTGTATACCTATAATTTTATAGGTTGAAGAATTCAGAGTTATTACACTGGAGAGCTTTTTGAAATACTTATTTTGTCTAGTGGTTCAAGTTATTACACAGTGTATATATGATATTTATAAATATTTACTATAACTAAAACAGCTAAATTTATCATTGTTGCCGATACATTTTTAGTATAATTAATTTTAGCAACTTGAAGAACAGCTAGAAGCTAATCAAATTGAATTATTTATGATAATTACTTAATGGGTTGATACTCTTGGTCAAATTTTAGTGTCCCTTAAATGATCTCATTACCTACAAAACAAGAAATATTCGACAACCCGGGTGGACTTAGCTGCCGTGGGCGTATGTTTCGTCGTATGGTACCCTATCTTTAAATGTATTATCATATCTAACACTGGTATGTCAATGTGCGCCAGGCGAACAATTAGCTAACCAACCAATAATCAGCTTTTAAATGGTAATTTTGATTTTAAGATATACCTTTGCTAGTGATAATATGTATAACTGTCCCTTTTCTATTAGACCAGTAGATACACACAAAAGGAGAAAGCACGAAGACTTAAAGCTAGAAAATGTACAAATAGCTCAAAGACTTGAAGCTGTTAAACCATATTATGGTCGCCATGTGTGGGTAAGGTAGTTAACGGTTCAATATGAGTGGTTCATATACAGCTATAAACAAAGCAAGCTAATTGTTGGTATTTGGTAGTATCAAAGTATAAATATTTACCTTACATTTGACCTTACTATTTTTCCTGGAATTAACTCATTGATATTGGAAAAATGAAGTACTCTCTCAGATTTTGATAATGAGGAAGTATTTAGTGGTAAAGTTAACTACCGAGGTGAACAAGTCATAAACCGATCAAGATATATTTATGAAGCTCGACCATACATGAACTATTTTTTAATTAGAAATATCACAGATTAATAATTTTGTATTTCACGTGCCTTTTGATATTTTAATAACAACAACGGTCTTGGTAGTTTGTAATTGAACTCAATGTTGTCCACTGTGACCATTGATGCTATTTATATCATATTTTATAACATGTATACTTCTAGCATTTCATTGTTGATAACCAATAACACGGGCGCTGTTCCCCTTCAAATCACAAATCATGTTTAGGAACATAAGGATGTTGATAACAGGGTCTATTGGTTTTCTTTATTACAGGAAGACGACTTTAAAAAACACAAACACTATAGAGAGATGAGACAGGAAGCTAACAAGGAGTATTATGAGACGCCATCAAAAAAGAATAAACAGAAGGTGATTGTTATATTTTGTTTATAAATTTGTAGTTTCTATGGGCATCTCAATATCAGTAGAATCAAAATATTTTTGACCTCCTATCTTAACTGCATTTAGTTTAATAATATTTCAAAATATTCAATTATTTTTTTTTTTTTTTTTTTTTTTTTTTTTTATGAGGGACATATAGAAGGGGTAGTAGTTTTGATTTTTTTTTTTTTTTTTTTACTACTACACTTTATTTACGTCAGATTTCTACAAGCATATATTAAGTACATTTATATCTTAAATGATAAAATACATTATTCTATATAAATGGTGAGTCGCAGGGTTCCTACTATACACAGATCTAAGTACATAAATCCATCAATGGGGAATCGTTATGGAGGCAATCTGTTAATTCTTAAAAAGATATTTCCATTTATTTGTGTATAATTCTGGAGATATCTCAATCTCCATTTTAGCATGCTCTACTAAAAATCTTTCATACTTATTAATATTGAGCATTTCGTTTCGTAGTTTAGCCCGATATATATAGAATTTAGTTAAAATAATTACATGATTAATGAAAATCCATTCAGTATTACTTATATAATTTGATTTGTTAGTTAGACCAAGGTGTATTATATGTGTTTTTATATTTATCTTTATATTACCACGATCTAGGATAGTATGAAGATGATTCCATATTATTTGTGAAAATGGGCAAAGGACAAAGAGATGTTCTACATTTTCTATATTAGATTCACAGAAAGTGCAGAGTGTGTTATCAACTTTTCTAATTTTGAATAATTTATCATTTGTGAATATAATCCTATGGAGATATTTGTATTCAAAACTCCTCAGTTTTGTACTAAGACATACAGTGTTTATTATTTTGAATATATTTTCTACGTCTAAATCACTTAACTCGGTATCTAGAATGTGTTCCCATGCTTTAATGGCTTTTGGCCTGCTGAACTTTGCTTGTATTCGGCTATCATAAATATTTTTTAAGTTTACGTTGTGAAAATGGGTATTATATATTTTGTAAAAATTAGTATTTATATCTTCCAAGGGAGTTCTATTACAATTAAAATTTGTATGTACCGCACTTTCAAACTCGCTCGCTTCCTGTACATACTGCAAGATACACTTTTCTATTCCTTTTAAGATAAATTGATGTTTTTCTAAATAGTGATTATCGATCTTATTTATTTTATCAAAATATTCACTAACGTACCGAATATTATTGTTAAAAAGAAAGTTTAAAAATATAGTTTTATTATTAATCTTTATATTTGTATTATTCCAAATAATTTGATTTTCAGTGTGGGCAATGTTCTTTATATGCGTTGTGTAGATTGTATACCAGTTGCATTACAGGTTTTTATAAAAAGGAATTTTTAGATTTAACTTATCTGGAAAGTTGCATGCAGGTAATAAATTTCCACTATATTCAGCCATAATGAATTCATATGGTATGAGCCATGTTTGGATTGGTGACTGATATATTTTTTTAATCCAAAAAATGCTATTACATATTAGGAATTCTTTTAAGTCAATCATTTTTAATCCGCAATTTTTATTTTTTTGTATAAGAATGTCTCGCTTTATTCTGTCAGGACCGTTCCATATAAATTTGTAAAAAATTGTGTTTAGTTGTTGAATAGTAGAATCCGGTACTGGATTAACAGTGGCCGGGTTTAAGAATTCTTGGAATGCAGAATGTTTTAATTATTTGTATTTTTCCAATTAAAGATAATTTATGTTTATCCCATACTTTTAATATTTGTTCTATTTCATTTATTTTATTTCTAAAGTTTAATTCACTAGTAATTTGAGTATCTTTTGAAAAAAGGATCCCGAGGATTTTTATAAATTTTTCGCATAATACTATACCGGTTGATTTTAATTTTTGCATTAAATTCATATCACAGCTATTTAAATCTATTGCTTCTGTTTTATTAACGTTAATTATAAGCCCCGAAATTAAACCGAAAAGTCGCAAAACCTCAAGCAAATGTCGTGCAGAGCTAAAATCTTTTAATAATGCCGTTATATCATCAGCAAAGGCTACAACTTTTATGGATTTTTGACCAAATTTTATTCCATTTATATTTATATCGTCTCTAATAGCGCATAACAACAGTTCTATGATCAAATTAAAAAGATTGGATGACATTGGATCGCCTTGTCGTACACCCCGTTTTACATGAAAATAAGGGGTTGTAAATCCATTGTTTATTACACAACAGGTGATATTTTTGTAAAGGGTTTTTATCCATCTAATAAAGTTACGTCCGAAACCGTACGACGATAAAGCTTGTATTAAAAAGTTATGGTTTATGCTATCGAAGGCTTTTTGGAAATCTATAGCCAAAAGAAAGCCTATTATTCTTTTTTGTTTCGCAAGATCGAAACAGTCGGAGATAATACGGGTATTTTCATGAATGTGGCGACCTGGTATAAACGCGGATTGATTTGGGTGTATTAATTGGTTCAAAAATGGTTTTAATCTATTAGACAAAACTTTAGCATGTTCTATCTTTATTACCTTTAGGAATGAGTTTAATAACTGATTGACGTTGTGTTACGGATAAAGATTCTTCTTCAAAGGTACAGTTATACGAGTCTAATAATAATACATAAATATCTGGCCAAAAATGTCGATAAAATTCAATTGTGATACCATCATTTCCTGGAGATTTATTTATTTTAAACGAGTTTAAGGCCTTCTGAAGTTCGAAATAGTCAACTTTGAATTCAAATAAATCCTTCTGGTATTCATTTAGCCTTTCTACGGGTCTAAAATTTGTTATAAAATTGTTTTCCTTTTTAAAAGACGTATCTTTCGACGCATATAAATTTTTATAAAATAGAAATATTTCATCCGAAATTTCAATGGGGTCAAATATAGCAGAATCGTCTGATTTTTTAAGCTTATTTATTGTCGTAGCACATTTTCTATCTTTTTCTAAGTTTAAAAATAATTTTGTGTTTTTTTCACCATTTTCATACCAGTTTTGTTTAGATCTAATAATTGCTCCTTGCGTCTCATCAATGTAAATGTTATCTAATGATTGTTTAACTTCAGTATATTGATCATAAAGTTTTTCGATAATTTTGTTGTCACAAGGTTCCTGTTTACTGATAAGGGATTCAATCTTGACCAGTTCTTCAATTAGACTATTTTTTACAGCTTTTTTAGGTTTTTGTTTCTTTTTGGAATATCCTATAGAATATTCCTTTATCTTAAATTTAATGAAGTCCCATAAACCATTTTTATTTTGTTTGTCAAAATATTTACTTTTCCATATCGGTATTGATGATTTTATCATTTTAGTATATGTCTTGTCTTTTGTTAGCGAAGAGTTAAATATCCACAGATTTGGTCCGCGTGGATAATTGTTTATTTTGATATGTAGATGAATTGATGAGTGATCAGTAAAGGAAGTTGGCTTTATTGTACATGATTTTATACAATCTTGAATTTTTTCCGATATCAACCAAAAATCGATTCGACTTTGTATCAAAGGCTTCCTTTGTTTCCAAGTAAAACGCTTATTATTTTGATTTAGATTTCTGAATATATCTAAGAGGTTAAAATAATTAATTATATTGAATATGGCAGTTTGGCCTTTTCTTTTCAGTTTATAATTGCCGCCATATCTATCAAGTTGAACATTTAGGACATTATTAAAATCTCTGCCAATTACCATTGAGAACGTGTCAAGTTCACTACATAGCTGTTGTAAAGAGTTAAGTAATCTTGTATAATAAATGTACTGGTACTTATCAGATATAGGGCTATATGTATTGACTAAAACTAAGATATCATTATAGACACTTATTACTAAAATGTTAAAATAACCTTTTTTATCGGATTCGTTTTTAATAACATTTATGTTATTGTTACTTTTTAAAAAATAGCTGTCCCTGCTGAGTTGGTTCTACTATGTGAAAACAATATGCGATCAGCCCATTCGTTCTGCCAATCGGTTTCATCGCATACACTGCTGTGAGTTTCTTGAAGGAAATTAATAGCACATGATTGTTCGTTTAACCAATTAAATATCTTTTTTCTTTTTAAAGCATTTCGAATTCCTCTTACATTGATGGACAGAAGTTTAATTGACGACATTTAATACTATTTAAAAGTAAATAAACAAATTTAAAGCTATGGAGGAGATAATAGATCTGTGTGTATGGAAGCCCATTTTGAGAAAATAATTGTATGTAATAATAATAATAATACAGTAATAACAATAAACAAAGCATAGTATTTACAATCATAATTACAAAACATGTTGAGACTGAAACAGACTTTTGCGAAGCTTCGCTATGTACAGAACGAGTCACAATTAGAAGAGAAACATATATACAGACACATGGTAGACAACAAGTTAAATAACTTGTGAGCAGAGTAATGCTCATGTATTACTCCTTTGGCAGAGAAAAAAAAAAAAAAAAAAAAAATGTTTAAGTCAAACAGCTGTGGATGTGTATACTGTGCTGGTTGAGCGTACAATTACTTTAAATAATAACAAGTGGTATTATACTGAGTAGCTTTACTGTATTCACTGCAGTGATAGACCTATTGAATGCAAATATCATATTATGATTTTCATACTTTCAGAGCTGTACCTGACAATTTACAGGTAGCTCAGTATATGTATATGGTTCAGTAGCTACGTAATATTGACATGATGTATTGTAATATCAAAATTATATATATTATATATCTAAGATAAGCCATCGCTATGTATAATACACCGTAGCTATTGGAATATTTATAGTAGTTTTATAGTTATATATTAACAGCATTTATCAAATTCAATTACCAGACATATTTTATGCAAATTATATTTTAATTGAATTATTCAATTATTGGTGGCACCAAATATTCTACCATTGCACGTGATTAATGATTGTCTTGACAAGGGGTTAACTGGGAGAGAATCGTTAATAACAGCGTATCGGTGAATTGGCAAAACTTTAATGTTCAATTAAAGGACAGCAATTGAATGGAGAAAAAATTCGATATTCCTATTAGTGAAATGGTTCGAAAAAAATCCTTCATCTTTAAAACAATTTTGATGACTTATTACGGGAGTTTAAAACAAGTATTTAATTCGACGAAACGGCGTTACCCAATGTCGAAAGTCGAATCTCAGTAGCAGTTGATCATCAGCCCGTAAGCTTTTCTATACTCTATATAGTGATATAAACATCCGCTTATTAGTTGGAGTAACCGCACGTTTCCCAAAGATTCACATTTGAAATATAGCTTACGGGATAGCAGAGCCCGACAACAATGAGTCTTCTGGATGCATTGGGCCAGTTTCAGAAATATAATGCCGCCAGAATGATAATAATAACTGGATCGGTGAACAGAGCTATGGTGACCAAAGAATAAATCACAGAATTTGCCATTCTGTTCATCGAGAAATTACTGTCACAAAAACACAACACAGCTCACTTAATCCTAAAACTTGCTGATTCCATTTTAACAACATTTAATAACTTAAATGCGGTTAAGTCCAACCAAGTTCAACATGTACCTAATTTGACCTCAATATCCATTTTTAAATATTGTCTTAACCGACCCTGCTGACATATATTTGGCACCATTGACACATATGCTTAATTATCTTGTTGACCCCATTTAATTTCTAGTTGACCTCGGTGACATTCTTTGACCCCCAGGATTTAATTTAGGAAACATTTCCTTACTTTACCCCCATTTGAACCTGTGGACCTTTTGGACCCATTGACCTATTTAGGGAACATTGCTTTTGACCTTCAGAAATTCATCCATGCACCACTTCCGGGCTTTACTTGACTCGAGTGATCCCTAGCTGACTTCAGTGGCCTTCTTTGACCCTTGTAATTTCATTGAAGCAACTTTTCTTTAATGCAAGTCGGCGTTCATCTGTCCATTTGAATTCTGTTTACTGCTAGTGGGTTGGCAAGTTTAGCATAGTTATGGGTGAATTTTCGATAATAATTATATGTCCTAAATATCTGACTTTACATGTAGTGCAAATTTACGTGTAGTGGCTTCAGCCTATGCAAACATTGTTATTCTAAATGTTCTTAGAAGGATGAAAAAAAAAATATAATACCATCGATAGATTTCCAATCCATGACGTGTAAGATATCCGTCATCACAATGACATCCGATTCATGTCGTGTAAAGTGCACCAAGGTCGCCGACAAACATGAACACAACGCGAGAAAATGTCCACAAAAAATTACAAACTTGAAAAAAGTCGCGTTCTTACCGCTACCTGTGCGATTATACCGCTTTCTCACGGTCACGACCTCTCCGCGCTTATGGCGTTTCTATTGAGATCTATTTGCTTGGCAACGGCGATCATCAGCAAACCCGCGGCGCTCTCACCGCACAGGAGATTCTTACCACACGTCTTCTACGTGTATCGCGACTGCACGTGTGTTTCTACCACGTAATCACGGCGATTATATCAGTGGGTCAGATTTTTGAAAATTTTAAGATTAAGATGACAACATACACACTGATGTATGAACTTTGAATCACCTGGGGTTTTTTATAGCAAGTTGTACATAAAAAACATGGTCGCCACAGGAGAGTAATGAAAGCTTGGTAACCGCGCCATGGTCGTATTAAGAACTCCATAAACGCATTGGGAACCCCATAAGATCGCCAAGAAGGACGTGGGGTGCAATCGCGCAACAGTGGTGAAATCATCGTAACCTGTGCTCATTCCGAGTTTCATTTTTTTCTCGCCAATTTTTCATTTTAATTTATTAGCCATATATTATCTCCGCCAAAATAATGAACAAATATATATTAGATTTTTTCAGTATTTTTTTTTACATTAGAACATAAATATACATATGATATTTCAATTTACAATATTCTTCTCTGCTTTGCAGAAGCCCATTTTTTGAAAGCTTTTTCAACATCTGGATTAACCACTTTTCCATTACTTAGTAACATTAAATTACACAGCGTATTTGTTTTTAATGAATATCTGTATATCTGAAAATTCCCATTTATCCTTAAAAGATCTACCTTTTCAGAATGCCCTTAAACAAAAATGGATAATCGAGACTATGTTTTTATTGTACCGACTTAAGTAATGATGATCGAGGCTAGGCCTAAAATTCAAAAGCTAATATCTCGGTTCAGAGTGGAGCAATTGTAGTGAAATTTCCAGCATATTCTATTCATGTTATCTATTTTTAACTATTATAGTGCCCCTTAAAGATTTTTCTTTTTCGAATTTTTTTTTGAGGTAGCCTACATGCAGACCTATTGTAGAAGTTGATATCGCTTCAACATTCAAGAATGTAATAATATTCGATGGCCGAGAGCTGATCATGTCAGTATCATTTGAAGACTCGGACCATTTTGGTGGTGACATACTAAAATAATCTGACATTCTTCTATTGGACGTTGACAAAGGCTGTTCAATTTTTCGCTTACGACCCATGGCATGTGATTTGATGATAACTGACTTTCGACAACCCAAAGAATATATACGCAATTATAAACTATAACAACAAACCTGGCTTCATTTATTAACAATATAGGCAACAAGAGTAAGAAAAAGATAAAACAGACGTCATAATTCAATAATCCCAAACAAATCGAACGAGTATTATTCACAGTGTCCGCAATTATAAACTGTAACAACAAACCTGGCTTCATTTATTAACAATACGGGCAACAGGAGTAAGAAAAAGATAAAACAGACGTCATAATTCAATAATCCCAAACAAATCGAACGAGTATTATTCACAGTGTCCGCCATTTTGAATATATAGAAACCGTCAAAAAAGCCACCGATTTTTTTTTGAAGACAAATAATTAAATCTTTTGTCTCTTAATTAGTTTATTACTACGCTTACTGTACATACTAATCAACACTAATCCGAGATTGATCAAAAGATATCTCTATTACTTATACCTAATTGATTGATAACTGACTCTGCCAAGCGCAATAGACCGTAACGTGTGGAAATTAAAGCTTTGTAGCAAGAAAAAAATTATCGCCACGTTTAAGAAAGAATCGCCATACAGGAAAAAGTTATCGCCAAAAAATTCGCCAGATTGAATAATTCATCGCCAAAATTATATTTTTATCGCAATTGGCGGAAATGGAGATAGATAGCGTTATCGTAACATCACCATGACCACCCAAGCGAGCAATGTTAAGCACTACTAGTACTATAAGGAATCTGTTAGTAACAAAATATCTTATACTAGTAGATAACAGCGGCCGATCACTTAAGGGGGATTGGATGGCCGAATGGCCGAATGGTTAGCACTCGCGCGCTGTATCATAAGGCCTGTCATTGAGTCAACTGGCGTGGTTTCGAATCCCCGGTTGTTCGTGACAAGGAGTAGGGTTGCCTGTCCAACCTCGTGGGTTTTCTCCGGTTTCCTCCCACAGCTAAAGACCCCTACGTGCAAGCGAATTATTGAAATAAAATTAAACCATATGTTAGTCCTGAAATGACCTAGTCTGTGTCATGTGGACGTTAAACTACATTTCTCTCTCTCTCTCTCTCGGATCACTTAACAAGGGACTGGACTATCTCGTCTTTCTCACTCGGTATTGTGAGTTATCTTTCGCGGACATAAAGGCTAAAAGTTAATACCGATAATAGATTTCGTCATAGGTCACGAGATGTAAATAGGGTTAGGGCACGTGATTGTTGACGGGATTGCGGTTAACCCACACCTTAATTATGAACTTGCTTTCGGTATTATCCGACCTTTCGTCCCCTCAATTTTTTCCAACTCAAGGATTATGCATGTTTCGACGGTAGGCCTAGATAGTATCCGTGCAAAGCATAGAAGGGCTGAAAGACCAAAAGTT